AAGGTAATGCCATGCATATATATACGACACAAAACTAAGCTTATAACAATAAACTGAAACTAGGATTTAATTAGTTGGACTTTACAAAAATGCACGACTCTGATAAGACAAGGATCCTAGTACTGGACCATTGATACATGTAACAACAACAACATACCCAGTATATTCCCAACAGGTTGGGGATTGATACATGTAACAGTAGATAAAATAAGTTCATAATTTTGAAGCAATAGCATGACAAATGAATTAAAATAAAGGTACCTTCAGCCACTTTCAACCAAGAAGCCATCGAGTGACCCAATTACTGTGACAGAAAATGCCTATACTCTTTAAGCATCACACGAATAAACGCTGAAAAACAATAAGATAAAAATTCATCAATTGGACCAATTTTGTGGTGACATTTGTGTGGTTGATTTAATGGTACAGCTAAGTCGCTAAAATCCAAGTTCTCAACTTCTAGGCATTGCACAAAATTTACTTATAAACTAAATTTCATAGTAAATCCTCAACACACATCTTTTACGTAATTCTCTATTCCTTTTCACGAATGTCTAAATGAATCTTGTTCATGTGTCACCCAGGCAAAAGAGACAGTATAAAAAAAAAGGATTCCCATAGTTATTAAGATCCTAAGTATTTAACCAATCACAAATCAAAGAAAGAGAGTTCAAATCTTAAACAAATTGACAAAACAGTCCAACCAACTTACAACAGAGAACTAAAAACAATAATACAAAATGTCCACCAAAATTTGCAGTAGTTAACACCAAAATCATTATTCAGACAGACAATTTATGCATGCACTAGTTGCAAATGAAGAAACTATATCCAAATTAAACCCATCAAAGTTTCTACAAACCCACTTTTCACTGATACACTGTCGGACTTCGGGAAATCACGATTACAAGTTGAATTGTATCCTGTATCTGACAGATCGACAGTTTCATATCTTTAGCACAACAGGTTTCTGACAATACAAAAACGATCATTACCAGGTTACATTATCAAGGATACAGTTCGATTGACAAGCATTTGTCCAGAGGAAAATCTAAATCGCACTGTTATCCACCAAACCGAAGGATCAATTTGCAAATCAATCGTGTATAGAAGATTCTGACAGTATAGTAGAAGAGCGTAAATGAAATTGAACAGGATCCGAAGGCCTGATCAATGGCCTCTTTGCAACTCAGATAGACGTACGTATGTAGACGGTAGATAAATGCCCATTTTGATTCAGAAACACTGCTGCGTAACAGAAAAAGTACCTTGAGCCGCTTTCAACCACGAGGCCATCCAGTGATCCAAGCATCCAACCAACGACTGTAAGGGCTCGTTTGCCTTGTGCTATTGGGCTGACTAAGCCCTGTTAGCATTAGTTACTAGTATTCTGTCACCAGCATATGCACAAATGTCAATATAATTTTATACATTATATACATATATGTGTGCGTGTTTTAAGTAAAATTTAAAAATCATATATTAGATAATGAGTATATCACATTTATAAATTTTATCATTACTAAAATGACGATATAAATATAAACTATTTAACTTATATATTAATCGTTAAATTTATGCAATTTTGGTTGATTATGAAAAAAAAATTTCGAAACGATAGAGATATTATATATAAATCGCACAAATGTGTAAAAGTACAACCACCAGAAACAGCCTTTCCCCACAAACAAGCAGGCCGAAACAGCAGGAACAATCGATACAAGAAGAAGTCCTTGTTCAAGAAACAACTACCGAAACTGCGCAACCGCCTATACAGTAGCCGAAACCGAGTCCCGAACCATTCCCAGAATCAACTCACCTCCAACCGAGAGAAAATAGACCTACCCCCACTAGCCCCTCCCGAACCCGTCTAACACCACTAGCCGAGCTCAAGTAAAACCAGTTCATGGACCCCACCGCCTAACACCACTAGCCGAACAGGGGGTAAGGTTCTTCAACCCCGTTTGCCGCCGCAACAGGAGACGTCGCAGCAAAAGGGTCTCGCCTCATCCTCAGACCCACACACACCAAGCACCGCCACGGCACTCTGGCGACCAACAACCCAACAACCACCGGAGTTCCTGCCGGCGACAGAAACGACCAACGGGTCCAATCGCCGACAAAAGTAGAGAAAAAGAGGCGCTTACCATCATCAATCGAGGGTTCGTTGGCGGTCGAGAGAAAACCACCCATCGCCGACAAGACTCTGACAAAAAGAATGGCACCTCGAAGCTCCAATTTGCCGTCGATTGAAGGTCGCGACGCAACAGGACCACAACAATTTGGGGCGCACGACATCAAGGATAGGCGAGCGGTCAGGGGAGACCGCTGGCCAGGCCCCGCCGTCACCGAGAAAGGCGAGTTGACGGCAAGTAAGGGAGGAGCGGCGGTTAGGTTATGTCATAGAGAAGAAAGAAGAGAAGAGCGGCGAAGATCTTTTACATGTAATTATATGTTTGAGGTCGCTTATGACAATTAATTGGATAAAAAATATCGAAATTATTATTATAGAAATTGTGTACAAAACTTTAAAGGGTTTGATTATGCTATAAAAAGTAATTAACTAATTTTAATTAAAAAAACTTGCTTAATAAGGTAAAAAAAATAATTTTAAATATATAGTTTGAAAAAATCTTTAGATTAGAATAACATTTAATATGCCTTCACTATTAATTAATAGTAGCAATTATATAATAATATAAATAAATAAATATGATTGTGATTAATGCAAGAGTAATGGAAAAAGGNATATATATATATATATATATATATATATATATATAGATAACCCATATTTACATGGGCTGATAAAGTCAATAACTGAAGCTAAAGACACCCAACACCTTTTAATAAATATTATTTATATAATTAAAAGTACTTATCAGTTAAGCTAAAAATACCTTTTTTTTCATTTCAATTTGTACGCTCTAAGAAGGTTGGGAACGCAAAACACTCCGACCGGCTGGAATCGATCTTTCTCCTTCCTCCTCATCGGTAGAACGCCGCGTACCTGCAAAGAACTCTCACACCGGAGGGGTTTTCTGGTGAAGAGCCTCCATGCTTAAGTCGATGCTTGTTCTACTCAAATCTCAAGAGTAAAATTGGATAAATCGTGTGTAACAAGAAAGGCTCACCCCATATATATAGGGTGAGATACCTGATCTAGGGCCTGCCCGGATTTGGTTAGTAGTCTGCCCAAAGTTTTCTGTCTGTACACAAATAGTGTGTGTGTGTGTGTGTGTCAGAGGTGATTACCACCACATACCAATACTTTTTCGCCACTTGTACACTGCACATAGGGTAATTATTCTCCTGAATATTCCTTCGAAATTCCATCAAGAGACTCACGCGCTCCCTCGCATTTAAGTCACGCGCTGGATTGCTCTTCACCTATAAGATGGTCGATCATATGATCTCCTGTTCTGTAAGTCGACCCTCGACCAGATTTCTCCTGTACTTGAGGCCAAACGCATATCTTATACCGAGACCTTTCTCACCCCACTTTCAATGTGTCAGATCGTAACTTGATATTGTTCGTCCCCCTTCATTCTGTTCGATATCCTTTGACTGAAGTGTCTTTCCCAATATTAGGTTTGTTCGGCCGATCTAGCAGACCGGTATATTTCCTCAAGCATATAATATCCCATATCATCTAGTCCCCCCTCTCACTCTGGTTGAGTCTGAATGACTCGATCTAAGATTGGATCTGTGTTCGTCTTCTCGGTTTCTCATATCTCGACCGTCTGGTGCTTCCCCTATACTCTTCGACCATTTGGTTAATTTTCTCTCACCCTTTATCCGTCCTTTTTTCCCTTTATTATTAAAACAACTTTTCTGCCACATGTCCTGATACATCCAACATTGTGCCTTCTCGCAACTTGCGCCTTTTAAAATCATGTGTCCATTATGTAACACCCCGACTTTTTATTATTAGAATGCTCAATTATTTTAAGATTTAGATAATATTTTATTTAACTCATTCTCGATTATTTTTAGCTTATGAGATTAAGCTAATATTTTATCTAGATCATGCTCGGCTATAGCTTCTGTTAGTAAGCTCTTTATGTTTTTTAAGTTTTCATTTCAAGTAAGTCGAGAATTATTCGAACGAGATTTTATCTCAAAGTCGGATAATTTTCTAGTCAAAGTACCGGTTCATTTTGTTGTAAAATGACCGTGAGTTTAGCCCTTATTATTCATTCTTTAAGTCGGGAATAATTATCCATAGTCGAGATGAGTTTTGGGTCCAAGAATAATCGAGAAATCATGTGGGAACGAGCCTCAGCTGAAGCCAAGTCGTGCTCGGCAAGTTCGGCCGAGCACCCTCGCGACCCTTAGCCCTTGCACCCAGCCTTGGTCCAGCAGCGTCCCTGGCCAGCAGCCCGCACCCAGGCCCAGCCAGGCGCCCAGCAGGCCAGCGCCTGCGCCCAGCAGGCTAGTGCCCGCGCGCAGGCCCAGCGTGATGAATAATCGTGTGTCCCGATTCGTGACTCGGCCTCGAACTTGGCGTGAGATTCGGTTCTCGGTAAAGTTTGTGGACAATTCGGAGGTTAATCTTCTTATCTTCTCGCGATAGGTGAGGCAGCTTGGATGGTTGCCCTTGCCTAACTCGTCTTGCTCGAACAATGCAGTGGATGCCCTTTTCGTAACAAGGTTTTTGTGTTAAATATCAAGAGAAATCTAACACAAAAATTGAACAAGAAGTTCGGTTTTCTTATTAATAAATTAGTCATCCAAATTAACAAGAGCATGCATCTTTATATAGGCTTCAAATAAATCTACTCCTAATCAAACTAAACCACTAATTAAAGCAATAAAATATTAAGAGTCCTAAACAATATAGAAAGCATAAAGAACAAGGAAACTAAAGATCTAGTCTTATGCGCTAAGCAAAGGAACCCTAGCCGCCTCGGCTCCTTCCTCGTGCGCCTTGCCGCATTCCTCGAGCACTAAGGTTTTTTCCCCCGCGCGTGCAATCCCTTCACGCGGTATCATCGCGCGGTCCGATTTGGCGTGCCCCTAACGCGCGTTGTCGTACCCGCCTGCGTACCCGTACGTGGCGCCCCTCGATTGCGGTCACCTCGGGCGCACTTCTTTCACGCACGTTATCTCGCGCGCCATCATCTGCGCCTATCGCGTTAGCCTCCGCGGTTCGCCGAGCCAGCCTTTTACGTGCGTGGTAAGCTCGACTCGCAGCGTTCTTCAGGTGACTAGTCATATCCTCATCATTCCTGTCCCCTTCAAGTGTTTCATTGTCCTCAAGTATAAGAGACGGAAATCGTTCGCGCATTGCGTCCAAGTCCTCCAAGGTCGCCTCTTCCTCGGGTGTGTCTTCCCATTCAATTAGTACCTCCCAACGGAAACGCCCGACCTTCTTTACTTCTCGATAGCTAAGCGCACGGCTTGGTCTAGCTACAATTTGCCCATCGGGTGCGGTCGCGGGCAGTCGGTCACTGAGCTTGTGCGCGTCGCCCAAGCTTCGCTTTAATTGCGATACATAAATTACCAGATGGATTTGTGATTCCTCCGGCAGCTCGAGTCTATAAGCAACCTTGCCGATCCTTTGGAGTACTTGATAAGGCCCATAAAATCGAACCCCGAGTTTAGACGCGGTCTGTTGTGCGACCGTGCGCTGCCTAAAGGGTCGAAGCTTCAAGTAGACCCAATTGCCTGGCTCAAAACTTTTCTCGCGACGCTTCTTATCGTGGAACGTCTTCATGCAGTTGATGGACCCTTCGAGATTTTTCTTTAGTTCGCGTAGCATTAGGTCGCGCTCCATTAGCTCTCGCTCAACCTCGTCGTTCACAGACTCCCCCATCGTATAACTCATAAGTGTGGGTGGATTTCGTCCATAGACTAGCTCAAAAGGTGTAGCTTTGGTCGAGCTGTGATACATCGTGTTGAACCAATATTCGGCCCATGGTAAAAAGTCTTCCCATTTCTTGGGAAATTGATGGACGTAGCACTTTAGGTATTATTCTAGCGTTCGGTTGGTCACCTCGGTTTGTCCGTCGGTTTGCGGGTGGTAAGCTGAGCTCATGGCCAGCTCCGTGCCCTGCATCTTGAAAAACTCCGACCAAAAGCTACTCATGAAAATGCGAGCTCGGTCGAAAACAATCTAGCGAGGGATTCCGTTCAGCTTCATCACGTACTCCACAAAGAGCCATGCAATCGACTTCGCCGTGTACGGGCGCGTTAGGGGAATGAAGTGTGCGTACTTCGTGAGTCGGTCCACCACGACCATCACTCCATTAAACCCATTGGACGTTGGCAACC